GATTTATCCAAGAAGATGACATTTCGCCATGGTGTGTTGTGCAGATACCCCTGATTTGCAACCCATTGCTGTCTGGCAAGTCGATGACGATCCAAAAGGGTTTGACCTTAGTAAGGTCGACGGCAGTGTAACCCAAGAGCATTGCGCCTTCGGACTGTTTGAGGGCTGATCTGACGTTGCCGTGTTCCAACAGTTCCCCTGGCAGTAGCAATAGGTGACTGGAACCTGTTGCGCAGATGCTGTAGTCGGATGTGGCGAACTTGAGCAGTGGTTGTTACAGGTGGTGCTCCAGGTCAGGGTGGATCAGCAACTCTTCTTGGATCAGCAACTCTTCTAGTGGCGTGGAAGCTATGATTGAGGCGAGCAATGGTCCATGGGTGGACGGCTACCTGTGAAGCCCCCTGATCCAGCATGCCAATAGCTCTGTTCCTGTTTTCTTGTGTAAGGCGTGGCATTTTTCCAAAGTGATGAATGTTGAATTTTGATCTGTATTTAAAGGGCCAGAGTGTAGGGAATGCACGTGCAAAACATGTGACATGGGACTGCTTAAAATCATGAAAAAAGATAAATGTTGCGTTTGCAGGAACAAAGTTCATTACCGAGAACTGATATTGGGTTCAAACCCAGAACTCCACAAAAAGAGAACCATTACATGTTTCACCTATGTGCCATAAGATAGGAAAGTCCAAGAAAACGTTTATCAGAAATATTTCACAAATTAGGCATTGCGTTTTTAATAGCTTTGAGTCTAGCTTGTATATTTACGGGATTTTCAAATCTAACATTTGTACTAATTACTTAGTTAGATCCCATCCAGAATGTGCTGGCTTCTTTACATTGGTTACCTGCTGAGGCGCGAGTCAAATACAAAATACTAACATTAGTGTATAAATGTCGCAATAATGCAGCTCCTCAATACTTATCTGAACTCTTATATGACTACAACCCTATTAGATCACTTTGCTCTCAAAATAAACAGTCACTAGTTGTTCCAAGATATAATTTGAAGTCATATGGGTATAGGTCTTTCAGTTCAGCTGGTCCTAGATAATGGAACGAACTTCCACAACAGATCAAGAATCAACAAACTTTTAATCAATTTAAATCCGCACTAAAGACTTTCCTGTTTCAACAGTTTTACCAGTAGAGCCATTACAAAAAGCGTTTTGAGCATGTGTCAACATGGAGAAGACGCTATATAAAACTTCATTATTATTTATTATTATTTAGATCATGAACTGAATGCCTGTTAAAAGGTTTAGCATACAATTAGTTTAAACTAATCTTTGACTACTTTTAATCTTGTCGACTGACATCAAGGGGATTAAAATGTCTGTACGAAGTGGAACGATAAATCACATTTGTTAAACATTTTTTCATGCTTAATTTGGGACAAGAAACTTTATTCGCAGATTCCCTTAAATTTGATAACTTTCTGCTAATCAAATTAATATTAATTTGATTCGCACTTGTGTCGTTTTTGTTTAGCAAATTGCAATGCGATATCACTTATCATATTCCTTGGCGCCATAACTCTAGAAGTAATTAACAGAAATTGCTGAAATTCAATTGACTTCTTTGTTTCAATAATTTAATTGATGGATATAAATTTCATACAGATCAAATGATAACTTTTGCGTTTGAGCATTCACAAGCTTCAGCAAAGTGAAACAAGGGCCATAACGGAACTTGTTACAATTCAATAGGGTTCTTCGATTCACTAATTTAAATGAAGCATATAAATTTCATACAGATCGGATGATAACTTTTGTTGTTCGAGCATTCACAAGGTGCAACAAAGTGAAACAAGGGTCATAACTCCAGAAGAAATTAATGGAAATTATTAAAAACAAATATGATTCTTCATCTCACTAATGTAAACAACATATATCAATTTCAAAATAATCAGATGATAAGTGTACTCTATCGTGTTCACAAGAAATTGTGGAAGACGGACGGACGGGGGTATAAAAACAGTTAAAAACTGATTCAAAATTTACCATTATAATTTAGTCTGTCATACACAAGCCAAATAAATACTCAGTTTTAAAAATAAAAACAGTTAAAAACTGATTCAAAATTTACCATTATAATTTAGTCTGTCATACACAAGCCAAAAAAATACTCAGTTTTAAAAATAGTGTCCTTATTGGTCAAGGCTATTGCATAGTTTCAGGGAACTAGCCCAAATTGGGAATAATGAACAATGATCAAAATACATATTGTTTAATATCTTAATACTGTATTCTCCAGTCTATTAACAAGATAACTCACAGTGAATATACAGGATATAACCGTCATGATGTAAAGCGGAGCTTATGTTGACTTAGCAACTGGAAGCAACTGCAAGTCTGCTTATGTAGATCAAATCAGCAATTGAAAGCAACTGAATTCAGAGTGCTCATGTCGACTCAGAACTGATAGTGATTACATTTAAAACGTGACTGTTAATTATTGGTCTGACCGATGTTAGTTCGGATATTTGCAGATCTCACTAAACCCTCGTTTCCTGTATTGAGGCTTTCAACTACGACTCCAGGAAGTTCTCAGAGCTGGTGGGTCTTGATGAGCCAGGACAACGTCTCCGATTTTGGTCTTGTTTCCGTAGATACCAGATTTTGCATGGAATTGTCTTAGCGAATTCAGGTACATGTACTCTTCACTCCACAGACGCCGGAATGATTCAAGTAGCTGAGATTGTACCTTAGCACGCTTGGTCACCAGTTCATGAGTACATAATGGTTTGTCAAAGTTACTGTAGGTATCCGGTGGTAGTACGGATATTCTTCTTTCTGTCAACAGTTGTTATGGACATATTGGGTCTAAGTTTCTGGCATCTGCTGCAGCTCGAGTTAGGGGTCAGTTGTTGAGAACAGCTTCAATCTCGGTAAGGATGGTTATCAAGGTTATAAATGGTACTGTCGACTTTCCCAGTACGTTTACCAAACAAGATTTCATCAGTCCAACTAAACGTTCGTAGAACCCTCCAAATCATAGGCCTCTTTTTGGTATATAGATCCATTGTACAAGGTTATTTTTCATGTGCTCTTTTACTGTAGGACTGGATAATATGGCTTTGATTTCTTTAGATGATGCGGTGAACGTTGTCGCGTTATCTGAGACCATCACTACTGGTAAGGAACATCTGGCGGCGAAGATACGAAATATGTTGAGGAACTGCTCAGTGGTAAGGTTAGATGGGCTTGGAGTACCCATTAGATGTTTTCACCGATATTGGTCCGGCGAAATCTACTCCTGTGACAGTGACGGGTGCCGAATCATCTAAGCATATTTTTTCGGTAACGGAGGTAAAACCAGGAAACTATATGATTTACCCTTTGCTTTCTTGCAGATAACACACTTGTTGACGTGAGCTTTTGCTATCTGGCCACAATTTGGGATCCAGTATTTCTGGCGTAATTCTACAACGGTAGCGTTCAAACCAATGTGTAACAATTTGGCGTGAGTAGAACAGATGATGAGGCGTGTAAAATGGTGGTAAGTTGGAAGCAACATAGGGAATTTCGTATCCATCGGAACTTGCGCGTTATGGATTCTCCCACTCAAGCGAATGATACCTTCATCATTGAGATACAGATCTAACTGTTTGCAGAGATGAGTAGTGGTCTTCTTCTTTAAGACTTGAATTTCTTTTGAAGTTGATCTGGTAATGATTCGTCCCATTCGACTTTACTTTTCAACAAATCTTGCATGAATATTTACGCTGATACAGTGACTGGGGAAAATAGACCAAGTGGGTTGTACACTTTAGTTATATGTTGAAGTACGTAGTGTTTAATAATTTTGTCTTCCATTACAGACGATAGTTTCAATCTAAAGAATGTGAGTTTGTCACTCATTGGTAGCCACATCAACCCAAGGATTTTTACGATGATAGATGCATCCAGAACTTCATCTGGTGTCGACAAAGCTTTCACCTCGTCACAGTTTGAAGCCCACGTGTGTAGGTTAAAGTTGGCAGGTGACAAGATATTTCTGGACTCTGTGTAGAACTTTATTGCTTCCGATTCCGTGGCAAAACTAGATAGTATGTTGTCCACGTATAAGCTGTTCTGGATTGCCTTGCTGATGTCAGTAATAGCTTCACTCAGGTGTTTAAGTAATACTGCACTGAGTATGAAAGCAGAACTTGTGGCGCTAAATAATATAGATTTAAATCTATATACTTTCCAGGGACTATTACGATCTTCGATGTTTGTCAACCATAAGAATCGCTTTTTCTGTCTGATGTTATAGCGTAACAACCTTGGTGAAACTTGATCAACAGTGCAGGTCTGATTTACAGTAATGAGTGTCTAAAACTCTTCGCATTCAAATGAAAAACATCTGTGTTGTTATGTGAAGGTGATAAAATTTTAGATTTGTCGATGGCTCGAGCACTTCCACTTCTCTTTGTAAGGCCTGGCGTAACATAACAAGTGACCACAATGTCACACCTGTTGAATTGGAAAACTGTTGTTTTAGGTCAGTGGGTATCTTATTTAAGATGAAAGGCACCAGTAACCTCTCCAATTGTGTTTCTGCATGTCCCAGTACTTGTAAGCTTCTTATGTATGTTTTGATCATGTTGGTTGAGACAATTCAGATGCCCCCCCCCCCCCAAGGACCTGGGATCAACAATCTGTGTAGTTGCAGTCCGATACATGCAATTATCAAAGGAACCAATGTATTTGGGATATAAACATGATTTTGAGTTTCATCAAAATCGGATGAAAATTGTGATCAGTAGAGTGTCCACAAACAAAATGTGAACGTCCGGACAACGATATATTACGTCCACATGAATTTGTTTTCTTAATTAAATGTTTACTTTGAGTACATATTAGAATGGATTAAGCCAAGTAAGATTAGATATTCTATAAAAATGTAAATGACGACCAGTGGCTTTAAAGAGCACCTAAAGTAAACGTATAAAATGGTTATGTACTTAAAAGGTCTTGTGTTTTGATACAATAATTTTCAAGTATGAAAAATGTTACCTAAAAAATTCTTTTCTTTCATTTTGTGTTTTCAGTGTGATATTTTTCAAAAACTTTATAATCTTTATTAAATCATTGCTGAAATATATAAAAATGACAAGTCAACAGTGAGACTGATGTCCCCCGCCAAAATCCCAAAATAAAAAGATGACAAAAATTATCGCAAATTTTTTTTTTCAAAAGCATCGAGCAATCAAACAAATTATCAATTATACACTAAGTTTCATCACTCTCTATCAGATAGAATCAAAGTTATCTTGTCCCAAAGCATCGACCAATGAATTGTTTAGCTCTGCTTAGCTTTAGCTCGAAATGTTAATCATTGAACTCCGTCACGACATTCACCTAATGAACATCTACATCAAGTTTAAACATTCTACCTCAATTAAAAGCAGAGTTGTGATGTTCCAAAGTCTTGACCAATCAAATTGCTTATCGCTCCTTAGTCCAAGCAGAAAATTCACATCATCAAACTTAGTCAAGGTAATGATATTATGAATCTATATTCGGCGTTTCATCACTCTCACTTAATTAAAACTAAAGTTATCGTGCCCCAAAGCATGAACCAATCAGATTTCATATATCTGCTTATCGTAAGCAGACAATGTTTATCATCGAACTCCATGAGGCATTCACCTAATGAACGCCTACACCAAGTTTGAACATTCTAGCTCAATTAGAAGGAGAGTTATTGTGTTTCAAAGTCTCGACCAATCAAATTGCTTATCGCTCTGCTTACCCACAGCAGAAAATGTTCATCATCGAACTTAGTCAAGGTATTGCTTATCTCTGCTTACACTAAGCAGAAAATTCTCATCTTCGAACTCCATCAAGGCATTCACCTAATAAACACCTACGCCTAGTGTTAACATTCTAACTCAATTAGAATGAGAGTAGGTATGTTACAAATTCTCGACCAATCAAACTGCTTATAGTTCTGATTACCCTGATCAGAAAATGCTCATTATCGAACTTAATCAAGGTATTGATGTAATGAAATTATACACCAAGTTTCATCACTCTCACTTAATTAGAAATAAAGTTATCATGTCCCAAAGCATCAACCAATCAAATTTCTTATCTCCGCTTACTCTAAGCAGAAAATGCTCATCATGGAACTCCATCAAGGCATTGACCAAATAAACACCTACACCAATAATGAGAGTTATTGTGTCCCAAAAAGTGGGATGGATGGACAGACAGACAGACCCATTTTAATAGTCCCCTGCATTCTTCGAAAGGCGGGGGACAAAAAGTACACGTATTAGACATTCTTTAATTAACACAGATAATGGAATTAGGTTTAATGTCTTTTGGAAGCTTCAGGATCTTTAAAGCCTGGTCTTCCACTTATTAGAATTGGCCGCTGTGAGCTTGACAAGAAAAGTCTGGCTGGTAGTTTTGATTTTGATGGGATTAAAAACCTGAGGCCCACCCATGTACAACGCTCAAGTGCATGTAAACAAACCCTTGACAATTGAAAATTGAAGAAGAGTAGGCAGACACACCTCTGCGCAAAATTGTCAATCTTTGCATTGCACACGCTACCATACAACAAAAATTAGTATATTATATGTTAAGACTCAAAATGACAAAAAATATAGTGTTGACAAGATATTATTTACATCCCATTCTATTCCCATTTTCCGAACTATAGCTTCATTATTTAGTAATAAGTTGTGTATGGTGCCTAGCTTGAGGCATGGCATAGCTTACTCTTTCTAAAACACCTGATTTGTAGTAGTACTATTCTATTCAACATAAGTTGGGCAGTCAAGTTTTATTCTTATATCTTTAAAACAAAGATATCTTTATAACCAAAAGGGACGGTATCATTTCACTCGAATAATAAAAAGTAAACTCACTTGAACAATGGATCATTGAGGAATGTGTTTAGTTTGGGTCTTTCCTTGGCTTCTATATGTAAACATTCATGATGAATTCTTTGTTCAAAATCTTCTTCTACCTCACCTGAGAAAATATTACATAATATCAATAACATGCTGGGGGTTCAGCCACATGAATAAACACCATCAATTACAAATTGTTCACATATCCCTTTGCTACGAATCAGTATCCTGAAAGTTACATTTTTCCATTAATACAATTTTCCATTATGCCTGTGGCTCAACCAGTTTCATAAAGACATTAAAGATATGTATTTCTTGGAATAAACTCTCTGTTCATGTTGTGAATTTTGTTAATATCTGTATGGCGTGTACATGTATTTATTTGCTAAATATGGTAGTACATGTATATGTTATATAAAATGTAATAATGCAGAAGGACAACACACCATGTTGGATTTCAGGTCCTCAATAAATGACTTATTATTGCATCATTACATCATATGATTAGGCCATATAAAAATCTAATGCGGAAGGGAGGTATTTATTTTTGCATTTTTATCTTGTCAAAGGATCACTACTGGGCTAAATAACTTCTCATAAACATTGACTTTCAACTCAAGGCACTACATTTATCTCATCATATTGATTAACAGCAATGTGTGATTATCCAGTGTCATTTATGATTGTAGGTATCATTTATCACTCAGGGTTGTGTACTTGATAAATAAGCCTATGCCACATTTCTGGATTAATTCAAATATCTTATTTTTAGCTACTTGCTGCAACAGGGTAAAACATTTACGTGCGGTAATTAATGAGACCGTTTTCATTTTTTAAAATAAAACGGGTAAGCAGCCCTTTTAAGGTGATTATCACAGTAAAATCTGCAAAACAAGCATGCAGCATCAATTTAATTAAAAGTAATAAGGCACGGGGTTAACATTTCATCCTCAGGGCATAGTATACATTGTATGTAATCCCCCTACCATAATCCTCAAGCCAACATTATTCTGGTTGTTGACGTAAATATTGAATAAACTTACTTAAATTGTCTCCCTTTTCAAACAATTCTTCTATAAAAACACCAAATGAGAACACATCTCGTACATGTCCAAAATCTAGTGTATTATCTGTTTTACCAGCCTATTATATACAGAAACAGATACAGTTTAAAATTAAATAATGAAACCTTTTCAGAAAAAGTTTCAATTATTGATTGTATAACTTTATTTAATGTTAACTCTACTTCCAAAATATGGTTTGTGTAGTAAAAATTATACAATAACTTTTTATTGGGCACAAGACGTACAGTACGATATATTCACCCTCACCCCTAGCTAAGATTGGAGCTTTTCAGTTTCATACTCATTTTGTTTATTAATGCATTTAACGTCCTAAAAATACGATAATTTTATACTCTATGTACTTTGACGAATTAATGCCTTTTTAAGTCAAAATAAAAAATTGCTCCTTCTCAGAACAAATATACATTTTTTTAAAAATATACTGGTAAGTGGAATACGGTAACCCATATATCTTTGGGTGATAATCCCATATTTTGAATAATATATACTCTTCAAAAATAGTAGGGAATATTGAAATACCTATGCAGGTTGTGATATGATAAATAATCATGGACACTTGAGTATGTTCACAGATGAAGAACTTATCGTTCAAAGAGAACCACTGAGCTGCATGTGCAACACGCTATAGCGTCATACACGTGGGAGGGGTTCATTGTCAAATTTGACACTTCAAGGAAGGGTTGATGAAAACTGCCGCTTCCTGGTTTATCCTATTCATGATTGCTTTCCTATCGGTTCTTGCATAAGATTTACTGTTTAGCGTATCTTTGCTTTAGTGTGTTACGTTTAATTTGATCCGGACACGTGTTCGTCGACGTCAACGTCAACGGACAACACTGCAACAATTGGCCGTGGCACTGCATGAGGAGTGGGTCAGATTGCCCCAAATTGTGATTGGACGGTTGATTAGGAGCATGCCACAACGAATAGGTGGAGCAATTACTCATTATTAAGACAAAAATCAAAAACGTCCATTTTCACTTTTGACAGTGTATCTCTTTGCGAGTGAAATTGGCCAATCAGATAAGCCGCCCATATGAACTGTTTATGTTCATGTGTAGGCAATTGGTCTGTTATTAACATACACTGGTTACCTTTAATAAAAACAGCAGTGCATTTCCGCAGTTTTGTATTGTTTTTGAATATCCCCTACTTTTTTGGAAGAGTATATTTACCTTTTCTTCAGGCGAAATAGACTCTTCATTTCTAAACGCTCGACATCTCTCTAGAAACTGAACTGTTGCCTCTTCAAATTTACAACAATGTTCTAGTCCTCCTAATTTCCAACTTCCATCTTGTAGGACATAAATTGATGACATACATATATTATTATGGCATATACCAACCTGTTACAACAGACAATAAAATTCAGAATTCAAATATAATTACTAACTAACTAAAAACAAGATATTAAAACTGAACAGACTGTGTCTGTAGTCGAGTAAAGATAAGCCACATGGAGTGGATACTTAGAACAAATTGTAACAAACAAAACAAAAATCGCCCAAAATAAAAAGATAGGTTTTCAAGAAATCAGCATAAATCCAATATGGCTGCCATTAGCACCTTAAAACTCCAATTTAGCAATTTACAAAGTAAAGAATGCGAAGATCAGCGAGTTGTGGGACTTTTGACATCATACAGAACGTGTTACAATGATAGTTCTAGCCTTCCATCATAATGGTTGGACAGAAATGTGTAACCATGACGAGTTACATTCATCAGTAATGAATGTTAAGGTTGAGTAACATAGCTAAGCTTGGCTGGATCCATGTATTTTATTGTAAAAACTCGTATATAGGCTTTGTTTTTGGATATGGTCTCCAGTCGCAACAGCCTGCATAGTGCGTGACTGATCAGAGGGGTATATCTGGTTTGAACGGCTACGAATACAGCCAAGAAAGGCAGTTTGTAAACTTTTACTTAGTTTCTGATAGACCTAGATTTCAATTATAGACTGTACAATTCTTCTGCTAACAATTCTTCTTTATTGGCAATTTCCGGGACTGTAGTATCAAGTATGCAATTGGTTCAGGTTCATGCGAATCGTTGACTATGAATTTCAATCTTTAAGTTGGCGTCGGGTGAATTGGTTAACAAATTTGGCAGGTCTTGTTCTGGAGCTTCTATATCATGTCCGTGTGTCTCCAGAAGGTCTGTCGGTTGTTAGTTAGGCTTGCGTTGCTGCTTTAATTTCAAATAAGAGGTATGGAAACCGCATGCATTCAAAGTACCAACCAGAAATCCTGGCCCATAAATTTGATATAGCTGTATCGCGAACGTTAAATGAAATAGGTCTAAAATTGTTTGGGGTCTCGCCGCTTTTACCAAACATAGCCCGATAGATATATTCTTCAGCTCATCGCCCACGATCAGCCCTTGTAAAAAAAGTGTAAACAAATTTGAAAAACTTTATTGTTTCTGGCCCAGGTAATACTTTTCTGGGTGGGTGACGGATTTTGTTTAATAATCTTGCTGCAGATTATTGTGGCTGCAGTTCTTCGTTTAATAATTTTGTCCTTTCACATTGTCTGCCCATAATACATTTGCATGCTCTAAACTCAACCATTCCCAAAATATTAGAGTTTTAAGGTTTTCAAAGATGGCCATATTGGATTTATACTAATGATTGGACTATGGTGTTATGACGTCACATGGACATAATTTGGCAATGTTTCTCTGATTCTTTGGTAGCACTTTCCTATCTACCCGCAATACATTTACACCCTCTTAACTCAACCATTCTCGATATATTGCATTTTTGAGGTTCCAATGGCAGCCATATTGGATTTATGCCAATTGTTGGACGTATGACATTATGACGCCACAAGGACATCATGGGTTGTGCGTTTTTGATTCTTTGGTACCACTTTTATATCTACCCCTAATACATTTACACCCAATAAACTCAATCATTCCCGAGATATTGGAGTTTTAAGGTGCCAAAGGCGGCCATATTGGATTTATGCTAATTACTCAAAATCCTATTTCTTTATTTTGGATTTATTTTAATTGTTGGCCGTATGACTTCTGACATTATGATGCCACTGGGACATGATGGGTTGTGCTTTTTTGATTCTTTGGTACCACTTTTATATCTACCCCTAATATATTTACACCATATAAACTCATTCATTCCCGAGATATTAGAGTTTTAAGGTGCCAATGGTGGCCATATTGGATTTATGCAAATTACTCGAAATCCTATCTTTTTATTTTGAATATATGCTAATTGTTGGCCGTATGACTTATGACGTCACAAGGACGTCAACTGGCATTGTTTTTCTAGTTCTTTGGTAGCACTTTCCTATCTACTCGTAATACATTTACATCCTCCAAACTCAACCATTCCCGAGATATCAGAGTTTTAAGTTTCAATGACGGCCATATTGGATTTCTGCTAATTGTTGGCGGTAGGATGTCACAGAGACATCATTTAGTTGTTTTTCTAAGTCATCTGTACTACTTTCCTATCTACCCGTAATACATTTACACCCTCCAAACTCAACCATTCCCGAGATATTGGAGTTTTAAGGTGCCAATGGCGGCCATATTGGATTTATTGCTAATTACTCAAAAACGTATCTTTTTACTTGGAGCGATCTTTGTTTGGAAGAGCTTCAGGGACCCCTCTACCAGATTCCGTCGAGAAAACTTCTGTTACAATTTGTTCTAGGTCATTTATTATATTTACTGGATTACTGGTTGCAATAATACATTTGTGATTTTGAGACTAAAATGTAGAAACGTGCACATTGTCATTGCAAGAGAGGAGAACAGGGTTTCTATCTACTATTTATTAAATTATCAAGGCTTCCTTTATGTGCACACTAATGTGGACGTCAAATTCTATACAATACAGACAACTAAAAAACCCTTTCCTTGTTGGCAATACAACAAGGTAAATCCAATGTAAGTTTAACAAAATAAAAGATAGCAGGTTTAACCAGGGTTATAATTTCAAAATGATTATGATTCTGTTTTTAAATATATACTGGACATGTCCCCCTGGATTGGCACAAATATGCCATACCGGACATCACTTAGATCAGATGACGCCAGACTGTCAGATTTTCACAAAATCATTTGTCACAATATTGGTACATCTATTAATCAGGCTACATTATTATGTGAAATATTATAGTTTAGTCAAGATCAAGCATTTTTCCCAGTATAGTCTGTGTTCCTTCAAAATTGTTCAAACAATGTCCATTCCAGGCATCCTGACTGCTGCAGGTTTGAACACCAATAACGTAATCAGGACAAGTTTATCTCATGTGCCTATGCCCACAGCACTCATACTATTTAAAGAGATGCTTTTTTAAAATGATAGTGCATGACATTATTTCAGAATTAAGGCCTCAAAGCTGTATATATTTACTTTTGTATTACCTTATCATGTAAAAATACCAAAGCATCTAAAATTTCAGAAATTCCTGAAGATATCTCTATTGGTGTTAATTGTTTTAGTACACTTTCTAGAGGTAAAACTTCTTCTGTTACTAAATATGATCCTTCTGAACTTTCACCTGATGCTATAAATCTTAATATTGATGGATGTCGTAATGTTTTTAGATGCTGAAAGATGAAAACAACAAAATAATTAAGTTACATTTAAGGGTGTAGTGGTTCAAAAGATATTGAAGCGGTTATATGGTTGTTAAAAACTCAACCAGTTAACCGATTTCATTCACATAAAAATGGTGGATTCTATCAAGAGTAAGCTTACTTGTTCACCAGGTTGGGAATATTGGATTAAAAAATGCCTTGTATTCGATCTTTTTCTTGATAGCACCGTTAAAAGACAAAGCCAGATTTGTTGTTACAGTTTATAAACGAGTATATGTTCTGAGGGTTGGTGAAAGTCAATCACTATCAACTCATATATATCATATTAAACAGAAGATTTGTTATTCAAAGACTACAGATTATTCTGAAATCCGTTGCTCTTGTTCGTCATGAGATCCTTGGATGTTGGAATTATTACCAGGGTTCCTCAAAGACAACTGCTGAGAAATATTAGGAAAACCTAAAATTTTGAGTGCTCTAGTAAAAGGTACATGTAGATTCTACATGTACATGTCTATGGATAACTAGATATTTTCAAATCCTTGAAAAAGCTTTAAAAAAATAGTTAGACATATCTAAAACAGAAGAGGAATTTTGTAATTACATGTATTATTATTATAATATAATTATTTTGTAATAAAATGTACCGTAATGGAAAACCAGCAGCTGCCAGGCAAGATACACCCACATTTTGCAAGAGATGGATAGAAAACAAGCTAAACAAACAGTAATTTTTCGTACAATCAAGGGCCATAATTCAGGAAGTTAAGATCTAATATGTAAGAATATCGACAGGAACCAAGATGTTTGGGTTATAAAGATATATTTCAAGTTTCATCAAAATCAGATCAAAATTGTGACTTCTAGAGGGTCCACAACCTTGATATACCATATATTTACATGCCAATATCGAAAGGAACCAAGATCTGTTGGAGTTAACACTGTATATCAAATTTTGTCAAAATCGGATAAGAATTGTGACCTGTAGAGTTTCCACAAACAAATTGTTGTCGGAGGGACGGACTGGGTCGATGACAAAAACGATCAAAGTTGGATGGTACTAAACTCTATTACCGTGATTATGGGTACGGGTCTTAATACAAAATTACAGATATGATGCCATATATCACTGAAAATTACTTTCATTGCTCTTTTAAAATATTTAAATAATTTTCTGACACATTCGTATTTACTTTCCTTAACAAGCCAACAGTGAGCTCAAGGCTGATGTCCCCCGCCGAAATCCCAAAATAAATAGATGACACATATTAATTAATCGCACATTTATTTTTTTCAAAAGTATCGAGCAATCAAACTATACACTAACTAACTAAGTTACATCACTCTCTATCAGACAGAATCAAGATTATCTTGTCCCAAAGCATCGACCAATCAAATTGATTAGCTCTGCTTAGCTTCAGCTTGAAATGTTAATCATTGAACTCAGTCAAGACATTCACCTAATGAACATCTACATGTACATCAAGTTTAAACATTCTACCTCAGTTAAAAGCAGATTTGTTACGTTCCAAAGTCTAAGCAGAAAATTCTCACCATCAAACTTAGTCAAGGTAATGATATAATGAATCTATATTCAGAGTTTCATCAATTTCACTTCATTATAACCAAAGTTATTGTGCCCCAAAGGAACAACCAATCAGATTGCTTATCTCTGCTTACCATAAGCAGACAATGTTCATCATTGAACTCCATCAAGGCATTCACCTAATGAACGCCTACACCAAGTTTGAACATTCTACCTCAATTAGGACAGTTGTTGTGTTCCAAAGTTTCGACCAATCAAATTGTTTATCACTCTGCTTACCCTCAGCAAAAAATGTTCATTATCCAAGTTAGTCAAAGTATTGATGTAATAAAGCTATACAACAAGTGTCCTCACTCTCACTTAATTAGAATTAAAGTTTTGATGTCCTAAAGCATTAACCAATAAAATTGATTATCTCTGCTTACCCTAAGCAGAAAATGTTCATCTTCAAACTCCATCAAGGCATTGACCTAATAAACACCTACACCCAGTTTGAACATTCTAGCTCATTCATATTTACTTACCTTAAAAAAAAACAATCAAACTCTTTTAAATGACAGGGGAACGGGTATTCAATGTCAAATACGGGTCTTAATATGAAATTCCTGATATCTTGTTACATATCACTGAAAAGCATGTTCATTGCTCTTTTCAAATACGTAAAAAACTTTCTGGCATATTCATATGTACTTACCTTAAAAAACAATCAAAATTGGGTGGTACGAAACCCTATTAAATGACGGGGGTAGAGGTATTTAAATTAGAAATATGGGTCTCAATACGAAATTACAGATATCATGGTATGTATCACTGATATTTAAGTACGTTCCTTGCTCTTTTCAAATATATGTAAATAATTTTCTGGCACATTTATATTTATATAAAGTTGAAGTGAAGGGAGCTTAAATCCAAAATTCTATATCTATACTGAAAAGTATAGTCAATCCTCTCTTTATTCATTTTTTTTTGGCACAGTGCATATATCCTTTTTTTTTAAAATTTATCAAAGTTAGTTAGACTGCACTAGCTGAATTAAAGAGTGGTGGGGGTGGGGTGAGTGTTTAATGTCAAAATACAGGTCTTGATACGAAATTCCAGTTATCGTTTCGAACATCACGGCTCTTTGAATCTACTTGTTATTTCCTGGCACATTCATGATTACAATATTACATACTTTAAAGAAGAGATATAACCCTTTTTATTTTGCAGGCCCATAGTAGTGATGTGCGTTTTTTCGGTTTAACCGTACGGTATCGGTTTTTACATATAAACCAAAAACCGAACCGATAAAACAAAAAATAACCGTGCGTTTCGGTTTATTTTTTTCCAAATTCCTAATTTTTAATTTACCCGTTTTTCGTTTTGGAAATGTTTGAAAAATTCCTAATTTTTATGTAGCCGTACTTCGTTTACTTAATAGTTCCAAAATTTTAATGTAGCCACCACTTCCGTTTTTATTTTCAATCAACCAGACCCCCTATGTATAGAGTGTTTAATGAGTCTGGATGGCCTAGACTATTTATTTTCTCAATTAGGTTCGGTTTATAATTCAAACTTTTATGCAAGCCTAAGCCGGTTGTCAATAACGCACAATGGCTTCCTCTAAAAGTAAAATGTCTCCATGGCTTACAGTAACTTTATTGTTATTGGTATTATGTCGTTATGTTAATTTATTATTATGGTGTTGTGTATGGCAAAGTTTGTCAGATCCTTTTTTACAGTAACTTTATTGTTATTGGTAATACATGTATGTCGTTATATTAATTTATTATTATGGTGTTGTGTTTGACAAAGTTTGTCAGATCTTTTTTTACAGTAACTTTGTTTTTACTAGTCATAGTTAAAGTCATATAACAGTAAAAAAAACTTGTTGTTTACAATTTACATCAATATGTTTGATATCTTTTCTAGCTTCCAAGTATTCCTATAAAATAACCATAAATCAGTGCATTCATAATACAGTGTTTAAATGAATAAAAAAAAAAGAAAACCGAAACCGAAACCACGTTTTTTGCCACAGAAAAACAGAAAACCGAAAGAAAATTTAAAAACCGCACATCACTAGCCCGTAGCTAGCCCCCAATTTTTTTTTTGGGGGGGGGGGGGATTTGAAGGAAGGAATACAACTTTAACGTACCGGTACCTATAAAGTGTTTATCACCGATGTCCACTTCGGAATATGTCCTCAACACCTATAATAATTTATGATAAAAAAGAAAAGTTCGGAATCGGGTTAGAGTGCGACTTGTTTGAATTTTGAAGATAATCACACGATTTTGGGCACCACCAATCTCTAACTGTTATGAGTTATGGGGTGGGGTGGGGTGGGGTGGAGGGGTGCATTTCACAGCCTCCCCCCCCCCCCCCACACACACATTCACCGGACTCTACGTGAGATATCTTTTTACAAAGTTAGTTGCACATACATACTTACTTTTGCAGCTTTTTTGAGTATATCTATTTCCTTTCTGTCCTTCCGCGTATGTTGAAAGACAGAAACAGCTAAACCCGTCTGTGTTATTGCTTGCTGAAGTGTCCAGTCGCCGTGAGAATTTGTCAATGGAAATTTATCGCCCCAATCACAATCGCTCAATATACTGCTTTCTGCTCCCATTATTTTCACGTGGATTGACCAAATATGGATATTTTCATTTACAGATTAACCAAAGTACATAATTTTGAGAAGAAGTCAATTCCAAGCCATTCACAAAAAATAGTTTTAACGATTTTCTACACAGATTCGTGGCGAAAATGATTTCATCCTACCATTTTGAATTTAGAGTGATTTCCCTTTATAATGGACTTGATTGGTGTCTGTCATTATCACATGTGATAGACCTCGTTAAACACGTTCCAAATATAATTTTAACACAGAGATCACTGCTATGATAGATGCGTAGTGAAGGTTTCTACAAAAGGAAGTGACGAATACAGAAGGAAAACACAACTTATCCTTCTATATATAACAATATAACTGACTGAAGTGACGAGTGATAACAGCGATACACCGGCCAATTTCTGCTCACTTGCACTAACAATTCCTTCGAAGACCAAAAGTTGTTATGTGAAGACTGTGAGAGGATATCTGACAATTCAAAAAAGTAATTGAACACGAGAAAAATTGAAATAGTCCGTACATTCGCTTGTTTTTATTCATTCTATACTTAATAAAAACATGGTAATGCATGGAATTTTTCTATATTTTTTCGGTAGCACGATTTACCCAAATCCACCCAATTCTATTCCAAATCCACCCAAATTTACCCAAATCAGGCATTATTTCAACTGATATCACAATAATTTATATCGATATTTGTTAATGTAGTAGGGTGGTATATTCTCTTTAAGTATTTGGTGTGATATTCTCTTTAAGTATTTTATCCAGTTCTATTGTCCTGTATATCCAGTAAGTTTTGTTTTTCCAGTTGGTATAATTAGTTTAGTTTATAGTTTAAACATGTTATTTTAACATGGTGAGTAGTATTCTGTTACTTAGATACTGTCCTAACATCATGTTTCACCTTTAGTCACTTTTTCTTAGATCTCCATCTTGAAGGCAACAATTTCTTTCTACGTACAGCACTGCATTTACTAATTCGGGTAGGTTTATATTTGTTTAACTTGACTTGACAATATAATACAAGACAATTCCTTTCTAATTTAAATACTGTTTTATTCTCATATAAGTTTTAAATAAAATAATACATGTATAATCAATCTAAAGAAGTAAACACTTATATTTTAAAATGTATGTCTAATTTGGTGTTTGTTTTATCTTTTAGTGTTTCTCTCTTTTGTACCTGTATATGGTTTCCTAAGCTTATACATTATTAGTTCTAATTCTTCATTTCTTAAGAGCACCTTTATCAGGGTATGTTTCTAGTTTATAGTTTCTCATTTTGTTATGTTATTTATGTATAATAGTTCTAAATGCTCCATTATTATTACCTGTAATAGGCAATGTATCTCTATATATTATATGATTAGTTATTAGAAGCTATTTCTAAGCTACATCCTTTTTTTATATATATTTATTCTTATTTGCTAATTTAGTTATTTTGTCATTTCAGTGCTCTTCTTCTTGTCTTCTACTTGTTCTTCTTTCTGTAAATAATTGGCTGTTTTGTTCCTGTGTATTGTAAATAAACTGTATAGCTGTGTTCCTGTCTTTGTCTCTTTTCGTTCAACCCGCGACCTGGAAAGGGGATAGTCCGTTGTCCATCGATCCTGCTACATTAATATACCGTCCTTTCTGTCAAATTGTCATTTTTAATTTAAAATCGTAGCGTTTTTATGTCAGAATGTGATTTCCTCGTAACTTTGGAAGTCGTAACCAAGGGACATAACTCCTCTAAGACACAAATCTAACGAAAACAACCATTATTTCAACTCATATCATTATTATTATTATTATAGTGCGCCCTTTCAAGGCTTTCATATAACATGTTCAGGGGCACTTTCAAAGTGACAATGTAATCATAAATAAACAACAAGATTATGGGCATACAATAACTTATATCGATTTTTGATAATCTATCGTTCCCTTTGCCAAATTGACGTTGTGTCAAAATGTGACTTCTATGGAAATTTGGAAGTCGTAACAAAGGGACATAACTCGTGTTAAACACAAATCTACCCAAATTCACCATCATTTCGACAGTTTAAAATAGTTTAAAATCATAGCCTTTTTGTATCAAAATCCGTTCTTTTTTGGGCAGAGTACAGAAGGGAAATAACTCGGGGACCGCATAACTCTATCCATAATTCTGAATGATATATGCCTCAACAGGAAAGTCATTTTACAATACATATATATGCATAGACCTAGTGATGCTTGCTTTGTAGGGCAAAAGTTGGCTCGTGGAAGGAGGGTAAAGTAGAGGAGGAGGAGGAAAATATAAAATTTTAATAGCATATTAGCTGTGATAGATACGTTGACTGATTTAGGACACGCAAAAAAAAATAATATCTCGAGCGCTCGAGATACTAAGTCGAGCGCTCGAGATAAAACAATCGAACACGTCTCAACCGATGTTTTAAGCTGTATAATTTTGTACATTAATGATAAACTTGCAGAATAAAGATATTCATTTGTTCGTTGTTTTTACAGCCCACCCAAAACTGCAGTGACGGAGCCCCCCCCCCCCCCCTCGACACACACTCACACCATCCCATGCTCATCACCACCACTAAATATTTTCAGTCATATTTACCCCCTACCAAGTGGGGAGTATATCGCATGTTATTAACGAATCAATAATTATATATATCGAGGTTACAGAGTTTTGCTAGGAGAGACTGACTTCTTATCTAGAAGCTCAGGTCTGGTCCCAATGAAGGTTATATGTTTCATATGTGTAGGAAATGTTCATTGCCTAATTTACCCTGGCGCAAGTAGCGCGATCGTGCCGGTGTGGCAGTTTCAGATGGTTCCTGGTGTGTGATTACCGTTTGGCGCATGCGCAGTTGTAGGAGTCAACTCACATCGTTACAGTCGCGGTGTGCATTGACTCCTCGTGATAGGATTTCCCCTAAGATTTTCTTACGGTCAAATCAGATTATTATGTACCGATATTAACAGTATTACCACCACGAGAGGATGCAAATTGACGATCTTTATTATTATTATTTAGTATATATACCCGTCCACAATGCGAACATTCTCTCTTGCATTTGGTCTGTCTACATGCATGTTTGAATGTATGGGATGGTATAATAAATCTATATTTATGTTAAAGAAATCGGAATAAGAAATTCCATACTTTTATATTTGTGATAAATGAAGCCACGAAATATCAAAGACCTTAATCTTCCTTTGGAGGTGAATTAATTGATAATTTCAAGCCAATCATCAATTTGTATGGTTTCCACTGATAGTACATGTGTAGAACGACTAATCACTAAAAAAAAAAATAACGGCAACAAATCACGAACGATAGAAGTATCAATTTCAAGCCAATCAACTTAGATCCGTTGATCGTGTAACTACTCATCACTAAAACAACAGCTAATCACGATAACAAGTATGTTTATTAATGACAAAACTCTAATCAAGTACATGATATACTTTTTCCTGGACTGTCTGACCAGGAACCAACTCGCACTGCAGGAAGTAGATATAGTTTCGTTGTTAAGGCAAACATCAGTTTCGGACATGCGCAAGTGCCCAGGAGAAAACACACACCAGGAGTCAACTCAAACTATCACACCGGGCTTCTACATTCACCCCCCCCCCCCCCGCGCCCAAAATCAATAGTTGCCGCCTTTATGCCTTAAGGAATACATAATAATATGCTAAGTTCCTAGCTGATCCATTCAGAATTGCGACCTGTATACGGTAAACACAAATATTGTGCGTGGCTCTGCCCCTGGGTGTTGGGACATGCAGTTGTCGTCTTTGGGCTATAAGGAATACATATGCCAAGTTCCAAGACGATACATTAAGAATTCTGGCCTGTAGGCAATACTCAGAGACACAAAGAAAAATGGGTGTGGCGCTGATCCTGGGGGCCACGCAAACACCCCAAAAAAAACAATAGGGTCATCCTTAGGGTATAAGGAATAGGTATGCAAAGCTTCAAAAGGATCTGTTAAGAATTGCGCCCTGTAGGAGAACCACACACAAAAATTTGGTGTGGCTCTGTCCCAGGGGCCAGACATGCACCAAAAATAATTGAGGTCATCATTAGGGTATAATGATCGATTAAGAATTGCGGCCTGTAGGGCGCGGGGATTGAATGTAGAAGCCCGGCACGATCGCGCCACTTGCTCCAGGGTAAATTAGGCAATGATCAGTTCCTACATATGAAATAAATAACCTTGGATCAGACCTGAGCTTCTAGATAAGAGGAAATGTCAGTCTCTAGCAAAACTCTGTAACCTCGATATATACAATTATCGATTCGTATAATAACATGCGATATACTCCCTATTTGGAAGGGGGTAAATATAACGGGAAATATTTAGTGGTGGTGATGAGCAGGGGATGAAGTGTGCGTGTGTGTGTGTGGGGGGGGGGGGGCGCTCTGTCACTGCAGCTTTGGATGGATTTGTTCGTTTTTACAGCCCATCCAATGGATGGATCAGCTAGGAACTTGGCATATTATTGTGTATTCCTTATGGCATAAGGGCGGCAAGTATTGATTTTGGGCGCGGGAGGACCAGACATGAGCTTCTAGATAATAACATGCGATATATACTCCCAACTTGGTGGGGGATAAATATAACTAGAAATATTTAGTGGTGGTGATGAGCATAGGGGGGGGGGGGGCGCTCCGTCACTGCAGCTTTGGATGGGCTGTAAAAACGAACAAATGAATATTTTTATTCTGCAAGTTTATCATTAAATAATGCACACAATTATACACCTTAACCCATCGGTTGAGACGTGTTCGATTGTATTATTCCGAGCGCTCGACTTAGTATCTCGAGCGCTCGACTTAATTATCTCGAACGCTCGACTTAGTTATCTCGAGCGCTCGACTTAACTATCGCGAGCGCTCGAATTAGTATCTCGAGCGCTCGACTTAATATCTCGAGCGCTCGAGATATTATTTTTTTTTTTTGCGTGTCCTAAATCAGCCACCGTAGATAGAACACTTTTGTGAACAAAAATTATAATTCATATCAGCAAAAGATCAAACAACTATAAACAAATATATACATATCAAAATACACGATCAGTGCCGGATTTAGATGAAGAGAGGACCTAGGCTATTACAATAATTATGATGCCCATCCCAATCTCCCACCGCTAGAGGAAGATGGAAGAGTGTTTTAAACAAAATTGAGTAAAGCCGAGGATGGTAGCGGGTGTTTAAGACGAAAGAGCGTGTAAGCAAGGCCAATGACAGTGTCAAAAATATTATACACCTTGACCGGAAGCCCCGTAGATTTTGTGGCCCTAGACTTAAAGATACATTATGGGAGATAAGATAAAGAGATGGCAGTTCTCGCTATAATATACTATTAAAAAAAAGTAGGGGATATTTGATTTTTAAGTGTTATTAAAGTCACCTAATGAAACTGACGAAGAAACAAATGACAAAATGAAATGAAGTTCACATTAATCGATTTATTCCAAATGATCGTTAGACTAAGTAAGGCACAGACTGACCATTATAAGGGTAAAATGATACCCGGGGTCAAACAGCAAAGTTACCACAGCATCACAACCAAGTCAGTAACGGGTAAATCCTCCTCTGTTTGCCAAACAAGCATTGATCCGACGTGGCATACTCCTAATGAGACGTCTAAGGTCATTTTGGTCCAGATTGTCCCATTCCTGTTGCAACGCAGCAGCAAGTTCTTGGACATTGGCAGGACGTTGTTGACGTTGACGTAACCTCTGTCCAAGCATGTCCCAGACATGCTCGATGGGGGAGAGGTCGGGACTCAGTGCTGGCCAAGGTAATGTGGTGATGTTCTGTTGTTGGAGGTAACCTGTAACGATCCTGGCCCTGTGACATCTTGCGTTGTCATCCTGGAAGATGAAACGGCGGCCATGACGTCGTGCGAACGGCACAACATGGACTGCCAAGATGTTGTCCCGGTAGTACTGGCCTGTAACACGCCCTGCAACAACATGTAAAGCCGTTCTTCCAGCAACAGTGATGCCTCCCCACACCATAACAGAACCACCCCCAAATCGATCATGTCTGATGACGTTAACGTCTTGGAAGCGCTCGTTTCGACGACGCCACACCCTCCTACGTCTGTCCAAAAAATCAACAGTGAACCTTGACTCATCTGAAAAAATCACATTGCTCCAGCGTCGATTATCCCAGTGTTGACGATCCCTACACCAACGACGTCTTGCCTGAATGTGATGATCTCTCAAACAAGGGATCACGCGAGGACGTCGGGCGCGAAGGTGACCCCTATGCAGTCGATTCCGAATCGTCTGGCCACTCACTCTCACACCAGTGTCTGTTTGAAGACGAGCGCTGATCTGATTTGCTGTGATGACACGATTTCTCAAGGCCAAGGTACGGATAAATCGATCCTGGGCTTGAGTTGTCGCCCTTGGTCGACCTGAGCGTGGTCTGTCCTGTACAGATTGTGTATCACGGTATCTGGACCATAGCCTGCTTATGACAGACTGAGAAACATTCATCGTCCGCGCCACAACCGCCTGTGTTGTGCCGATCTGTAGCATGCCAAGGGCACGTAACCTTTCATTTTGGGTAAGCCGACGCATATCAAAATTTGTTTTCTGGTCACTAAAACAATTAAACTGATGTTTCCACCCTGGAATTCAATGCCACAATGACTGTAACATTCAAAGTCAGAGTCGTGCAAATCTTGGGTTGGACCCCCATGATGATCCCAAGCATCACCTGCATTCCATGCGGTAGCTATTGGTGCGTTTGGGCGTCACATGTAACTGGAAATGTTTCTTCTGTTAGGTTCTATAGTGACTTTTTTCGTAGTCATTTGCATATTTTAGTATTATGCCCCCAAAAACAAATACCCCCTACTTTTTTTGAATAGTATAGTTAAAAACTAGATAGTGTTAAGGTAATTTGCTGAAAATTTCAGTCAAATTGATCCACTATGAGCCGAGAACGAAGCGGGTGAAATTTTTTCATAGTCTCGATCATCATTACTAAAATCATTAATATAAACAGCATAGTCTCGATTATCCACTTTTTTGATTTAATTATCAATGGCCGTTAAGCGGCATATAGGAATCTAATCCAGCCAACATCGAAGGCTAGCCTTGACATCGAGAGTTTATTATGGTCTGGATAAGTTAATTAATGTCTAATTGATAATTTAGATAACATTTCAGGCCTAAAGAAAGACTTGTAATAAGCAGATTTTGCTCTTGCATAATGCATGTTTAAGTCTGCCAAGCCTATAGGGTAAATCCGGCACTGTACATCATAAAATGAACACAGAGAATATTGCCCCGACACAAGAAAGTGAACTATTTTTTATAACTGCACGTTCTGTCGACTCAAATCCGCTTCACCTGACCTGGCTTTTTACCGGATGAAGTCTTGGGACACATAACTTTAAACTTTTTGTTAGCGGAAAAAAGAATTTTTTAGTTGGATTTGCTAAAGTTTTTTTATCATTTAAAAATCTCCAAAATACGTGATTTTTTTCGCGTTTATTTTTGGAGTGCCAAACATCAAAATCAAATTTATAAAATTGTGAAGCTTTTTGATTAAGTCTGTAGCTACCGTATCCATATAATGCGCGTCGTAAATTTAGAATTTGTATTTCAGATGCCAAGGTTAGCTTTTCAATAGGATTATTGATAGTGTGTTGTTTCCAGTCTGTAAGCTGTTTTAGTCTGTGATTAATTGATTCTGAATTATTGTTAGTCCACAATTCACTTATTTTATTTTCGCGAAGTGGTAAATTTACATGTTTTCTGATGTTATTTTCTATATATATATTCCAATAGTTTTTAAATTTGTTGTCCATTTTAAACTACTGGCATAGTGCATCTTTTCTACTTAAAAATTCCGATTCGCTTTTCGAATACACTATGCCAGTTTTGCGGTTGAAAATTATATATAAAATCTTCGGACGTTCCCAATTTTTGTAAATAAAGTTTAATGTTGTCTTTAATATGTTTTGTGCATAAAAATATGGTATTACAAGGAAATTTTTCTTTCAATGAATTAAGTATAGCCTTTTCCTGGTCACACCCCAATTTCAACTCCCCAGGTTCAAGGGCATCCCTAACGTGGGCAAAAAATGATTGTATGTACCTTGTTCCCCGTCCCAATGTAAAAAAAGTGACCCTAGCATAATTGGTTCTCCGCCTGTTTTTCTATTTAAAACAGATATGTTTTTGTAAGAAAATGCGGTAACAAATCATTGTCTCAAATTAAAAGTCCTGTCTACCCCAAGCACACTTCCATTTTCACCAAAACAGTTCTTTTTAATATCTACTAATTGTTCTTTCGAATATAAAATAATAGATGGCTGTCTGTGACCACTGAGGCATACCTCTTTGATATTGGTTGAGTCATGCTGCTTTGCTAATATAGCCAATATATCGTCTGCTAAATTACAATTGATCGAAGGGTTCGACTTTTTTTTGATTCGCGATATTTTTTATCTTGAACTTGTCGTGCAGATTTCGGTGCCTCTAAACTGTCATCCAAGCACATTTACTGTTATTGCTTCTTGATTCATTGGGAGAGATGGGGTTAAAGTAAGGATTTTATAAAATCTAATATTGACCCTCCATCCCGTCGCGCATGGCGTCACTTGTGTAATTTACGAACCTCTTCGTGTCGCCATGTCAGCTGGTTATAATATTCACCTCCCACGCAGTAGTATTACTAAAGGTTACTATCTATGTTTATATTTGTTATGTGTCCTGGCGGAGGGTGGGGGCATGTTCCTGAAACAACGACTGCGAGTTTTACAACATGTGGACGTTGCTAGATTAATTCACAATTCCCGAAAATATAGCTACTTTATCTGCAGACACGTGAACAGTGGCATCCAATCAGAGATTGTGAGATAGCGACTGCCACGGAAGCCTTGACATTGGACGAACCTAGAACTTTGCAACTCGATTATCACAGGTAGACATTTTAGCTTGAAAGCGCGAGACTAGGTATTCGCGACGACCGAGGAATTTGTACCCAATCGAAATTAGTGCTGAAATATACAGGGTCTTACGTGAAGGCCTTGATAAGATGTACGTAGTTAAAGCGAGATCAAGCCTTTTATTTTATGATCAGTAGTGGAATACTGCGTTTTATCAGTGAAATAAAAGTGTTATTTCACTGGCTAGTTGTTTTTACCTAAAATGATTGTAAAATCATAAATTAAATAGAACATTTGTCGTTTTGTCGTGAATAACATATTTTATTTCATCTCTAAGCAAGAAAACGTTTATATTTTCACTCATGCTACGCATTCGTGAAAATATAAGTTTTCTTGCTTCTCGATGAAATAAAATATGTTATTCACTCTAAAACGACAAATATACTCTATCTATTGAAGATGGGGTGGGGGGGGGGTCATATCTCATCTCTGTGTACGTATGTTATGGTTAACAGTTAAAAATTTGTTTCTATCTTTTGATTATGTAATAAATATGTATATGCAGTGCCGGACTGGGTCCACCTGTCATTAAAAAACGTGGGCCTAAGCCTATAAAGAAAAAAGAAAAGAAAAAGAAAGGAGAGGGGGGGGGGAAGAAAGAAGGAAGGAGAGGACAGGACAGGACACAGGACAGGAGACAGAAAAGATAGGAAAAAAATGACTGACAAACAACACAAAAAAAAGAAGTGTACTACGAGGAAAGAACTTTATGAGTTTGACCTCATTATACCGAGAACCATGTAATTCATCTTTTAACCTCTACATAGTTCTTCATAAGACATTATCGCCGAAATAATCGCCAAAAACTGAGAATAAAAGGTTTTTGTGTTTGACACTGAAGAGAATTCTCAAATTCATCTAATGATAGTGCTCTTAGGTCATTCTGTTATCTAATTGTATTAGGAAATCAAAAATTTGACTTCTTCTGCTTTGGTCTGAAATGCTTGGAAAATGGGTTTGCGGTTGTCAATGACCTGTATATGCTAATTAAGTAATGGGATATTTTCCTTCTCGATTCAGTGGGGGGGGGGGGGTAGCGATAAATAATATTTAGACTCCTGCTACAAAAGAAAGACAATGTAAGAAACAGTATACTGTATAAATGTCACAAAGATATGAAATATTGTTGACAACTTAACGAGATCATATAATATAACATGCGTTTAAACTGATAAGATTTATCCGTTTCTATCTTATTTTTTTGTTGTTAGCATGTATTAATCATTTATGATAAGTTTGCTTAACAGATTGAACTATTCCCATGTGTAAATCAGTTTGCACTTCCTAGAATAGATTGAGTGGAAGAACAGGTAGGTCTATTGTAAGATCTCTCAGAGTGATCGATTTATTTCTGATCTGAAATTAAAAGAAGAAATAAATACGATCAAATTGCCGAATACCAGTCTGACATTGACAATACCAGTGATGCTGTCAAGTGAAAACCACGCACTTTTGGTAGACCGTAGAGAGGGCGAGTAGCATATTTAGGTAAAATTTTCATGAAAAATATATTGTAGATTTACAGTGTCCCTGAACTTTCTGCAGTATTTATCGTATTCGCGTATATACTCTTCAAAAAAGTAGGGGATATCCAGAAACAATACAAAACTGCAGAAATGCACTGCTGTTTTTATTAGAGAACAGGCCAATTGCCTGCAGATGAACATAAACAGTTCATATGGGCGGCTTATCTGACGGCCCCATTTCACTCGCAAAGAGATACACTGTCAAAAGTGAAACTGAACGTTTTTGATTTTTGTCTTAATAATGAGTAATTGCTCCACCAATCCTCAGAAATTCAGCAATTCGTTATGGCATGCTCCTAATCGACCGTCCAATCACGATTTGGGGGAATCTGACCCAATCCTCTTGCAGTGCCACGGTCAATTCTTGCAGTGTTGTCCGTTGACGTCGACGAACACGTCTCTCGATCAAATTAAACGTAACACACTAAAGCAAAGATACGCTAAACAGTAAATCTTATGCAAGAACCGATAGGAAAGCAAACATGGTTTGGATAAACCAGCAATCGGCAGTTTTCATCAACCCTTCCTTGAAGTTTCAAATTTGACAATGAACCCCTACCACCTCTATGGCCCTATGGCGCTGTTGCGTGTCGCACATGCAGCTCAGTGGTTCTGTTGGGGCGATAAGTTTTTCATCTGTGAACATACTCTCAAAGCATGTCAAGTGTCCATGACTATTTATCATACCACAACCTGCATAGGTATTTGCATTTCAATATCTCCGACTTTTTTTGAAGAGTATAGAAAGGACTGTTTACTTTGAGTTCTACTCTTGGTACGCCAGATCCACTCTATTTTAAAGTATGTCGACATTCAATATATTTCTTGCGCCCCGGGGCAGGCCCCCTCCCTGAACCCAGAACCTCCCACGTTCCAGTGCTTAAGATTGCTTAGAAAATGCCATGTTACTCTCAGTCGCAGTTAAAGAAGGCAGGCCTTTAACTCAATATCATCCACAGTCTTTGACCTTGCAAACAAGACATAATCAACATTGATGTTGTTATTTTACTGTGAAAAGATGGGTTCTGATATCCAAAATTTAAGACTAAATGAAAATTGGCACTCGAATCGCGTGCCAGAATGCTTTCGAGCGCCATTTGTAATGAAGCGACTCGATGAACGATGCTAAACATACCACAAGGGAGAATACTACAGACTGGAATAACCAGACGCCAAAAACTGTCATTCAAGCTTGACTCATCGCGTATTTCGCCGAACATAACTGAATAGAAAGTACACTAACCACCGGTTACCAGGCAAGATACGCCCACATTTTGCAAAAGATGGACAGAGAACAAGCTAAAAAAATATGCGATTTTTTTATTCAATCAAGACCCATAATCGAGGAAGATACGGTCCGATATTCACGAATATCGCAATAAACCAAGGTCGTTTGGATATCATCATACATTGTAAGTTTCTTCATGATTGGATAAAAATTGTGACTTCTAGAGGGTCAAAAGCTTTGGTATTACATATTTTTACACTATTTGCGTGCACTATTTGCCCATTTGTCGGGCAGTTTTGGTCCGATTTTCACGAAATGAAATGAAATGGGGTTTAACGTCCTACTGTTCTGCTCCTATACTGGGCTAATGAAGACGGGCATACGCCATACAGTGTGCTATGAGGGAAATTTTGCCCGGGCAGCGGCACTATCGCCTACTCTTATATCGAATTCCAACTGCCAAGGGATCTTTTACGTGCATTCCAATGTTTACACGGGACCTCGGTTTTTCGTCTCATCCGAAGGACTAGACAGCTGTCCTTGTCAGGCCCTCCGTCCTGCATCACTGACAAGGGGAAACCACGTCGGAAAATCGGGTCGATTTTCACGAAATTCGAACTCTACCACCATTAGGGTGTAACGGTAATATATTTAAATGTTGTTGTTTTTTTTTTAATCGGATAAAATTTGTGACCTCTAGAGGTTCCATAAGCTAAAAAACGTGATTTTACGTACAATCAGGGGTGATAATCCATGCATTTACAGTCCGAAATGCTCGAATATCGACAGGAATGTGGGTTAGGTTTAAGAATTTGGGGAGAGGTTGAGTCGCGACATAAGCACTGACCTAGGATGATGAAAATTTAGATCGTGATATTTCCTGGTTTTATATATATATATAAAAAAAATACATTAAAGGAGCTAAATCGCTAACATTTGGGACCTAGAAATTGACAAAAGTGGGTCGCAACGCATATAATACTGTAATTTGAATGTATATAAACTGATTTACATTCAATGGTTTCCGTTTTTACTCCAATTTTAAATCAGTTATGTTCGGCGAAATAAGCCAGCAGTCTCAAGCTAGTGCAAATTTCTAGCGTCTGGTTATTCCAGTCTACATACGCCGTTTGATTTGGTGCAATGTGTCTAGCCTCGTCCCTCGAGTCTCTTGATACAACTGGGGCTGAAGCGCATTATGGTACACGATTCGTGTACCAATGGTAAAATGTTTATTTTGTCTTAAATATTGGATATCAAAAGCCCATCTTTTTCCGGTAAGATCACAACATGAATGTTGATTTAATTTGGCAAATAAATCGTGTTTTCAATGTTGAAGATTTTGGATGATATTGAGTTAGAGACTTAGCTACTTTAAATTAGTATAAATTCTGTCTACTAAAACTAATTAAGCAGAGAAATGCAATTTGATTGGCCGAGACTTTGGAACACGATAGCTTTGGTTCTAATTGGGTGACAGTGATGAAACTCAAAGTATAGATTCATTATATCAATTCCTTGACTTAGTTCGATGGTGAGAATTTTCTGCTTAGGCTAAGTAGCGATAAGCAATTTGATTAGTCAAGTCTTATGTATTGGACAGCAACTACAAAGTAGTCCAGTATAGATTTATTTATGTGTTTTCCTGCTATTTCCGCCCATGAGTACAACAACTACAAAGTAGTTCAGTATAGATTTATCTATATGTTTTCCTGCAATTTGGCCGAGACTTTGGAACACGATAGCTTTGGTTCTAATTGGGTGACAGTGATGAAACTCAAAGTATAGATTCATTATATCAATTCCTTGACTTAGTTCGATGGTGAGAATTTTCTGCTTAGGCTAAGTAGCGATAAGCAATTTGATTGGTCAAGTCTTATGTATTGGACAGCAACTACAAAGTAGTCCAGTATAGATTTATTTATGTGTTTTCCTGCTATTTCCGCCCATGAGTACAACAACTACAAAGTAGTTCAGTATAGATTTATCTATATGTTTTCCTGCAATTTGGCCGAGACTTTGGAACACGATAGCTTTGGTTCTAATTGGGTGACAGTGATGAAACTCAAAGTATAGATTCATTATATCAATTCCTTGACTTAGTTCGATGGTGAGAATTTTCTGCTTAGGCTAAGTAGCGATAAGCAATTTGATTGGTCAAGTCTTATGTATTGGACAGCAACTACAAAGTAGTCCAGTATAGATTTATTTATGTGTTTTCCTGCTATTTCCGCCCATGAGTACAACAACTACAAAGTAGTTCAGTATAGATTTACTTATGTGGCTTTGGAACTGAAATCCCACTCTGAATTACCGATTTTGATGGAGAGGGAGCAGAAATGAAATGGCCAAAAATGCCCTTCTTAAAGCGAGCGGAAGTTGCGATGAGCGCTCGACGATCGCAAACACCTTTTTCCTGCTATTCCAACCCATGAATATAGCCAATTGTAAGTTATCCAATATAGCCTTGGTTTTGCAGCCGAAATCCCAATCAACCAATCAACCAATGAGACTGTTGCCTTTGCATTCACGTGACACCGGGAATTTCACTTTCCGAAAAACTGATAAAATTAATAATGATGATGCCCGAAAAGAAAAGTCGCACATACAGCAGAGTGACTACTGTAGAGCGGCGCTCGAATTCCAACTGGAAAAGGTTCTTTTACGTATACGCCCTCCAGGGGGATCCACGCCGGGAAAGCCCGGTGAACACAAGTCATCGTCAGGGGCGGATTAAAGGATCGTCCAACGGAGGTGAAATTTAAAGCAGTTTCCCGTGGGTTTAGATACAAACTGGAACCGATGATTTCTTTGTCCAAATATGTCGATTAGCAAATGGAATTGGGTTTAACGCCCTCCTTCTGCTCCAACTGGACTAATTAAGACGGGCATATGCTATGCAGGTTGCTATGAGGGAAATTTTTGCCCGATAAAGATGTGGGGCTCTAACTGGAGAGTGGTGTTGCACTGGTTAATAGCCAACTCCTTGGAAACAAAAAGGACCCACAAAAATACCGCACCACTAATTATGAGACAATGGACATGCAACATTTCACATTAAGTTTCTTTCAGACTTTCTAACTTGCAAAAATGTCTCTAGATCAATATCATCCACGGGCTTTAGGAGCTACAGGAGGGTCTTTCGTCAGCTGGATGGCCTCCAGAGATTAAGTGAAAAGTTATTTGAATTGATGGATAAATTTGTTTGAAAGAAATTAAGCAAAGTAAATGTTCGAATTATAATTGTTCTCAGCATTGTAAAAATTAATATTTTTGAAAAAGTTATTGGGGGAACTCATAGTACCAGTAGTCCAGATGGGTAGAGACAATCTTAATCGGACTCTTCGTGGAACGCAGGGGGTTCGCGATTCACACTATATAGAGCGGAAAAAGAACGACCTCCGCTACAGTTTGGTCACCTCGATAGCTAACAATGAATGCACGAGGGTGGACTACACATAAACAAACAATAAATACACAGATATTGCAAGTCATAAACAACAAACGTTTACGTACATATTGTTTACATTGTATCCGTTTTGACAGCATTGTTTCTCACGCAATAAGTTTTTCTGCAATATTCTGCTATGTACTGGTTAATTGGGCATAATAATATCGTGAGTCATGACGTAACGTTATGTAAACATATTTGGTCCGAGGATCACGTGGGTAAGACGCTGGCTCGCTAGCCTGGAGGTCGGGTGTTCGATCCCTGCATTGGCCGAGAAAGTTCATCCAGATTTTCCGGCGTGGTTCTCCCTTGTCAGTGATGCAGGACGGAGGAGCTGACAACGAAAGCTGTCTAGTCGTTCGGATGGGACAAAAAACCGAGGTCCCGTGTACACATTGGCGTGTACGTAAAAGATCCCTTGGCAGTTGGAATTCGATACGCAGTTAGATATTGGTTGTTAATCGGACTATTGACCTGTCATAATTTGGAACAGAAATTTGCTTCCATTACAGCAGTGTTAAGTGGGATTAGTTATAATCTAACGAAACACTGCGAGGAGTATGTATACATGTATATGGAGTAATGTTGATATCTACAGGTTCCCATCATAAGGAACGCTTACGAATATCCAGACGCCGAATTCAGCACACTGCACGTGCACCCAATGAGGTACGTTGATCAAACATAAGAAAACAAATGAGAACTTGGCCTGCATAACGACCTGATGAATGATGGGGTGTCGGACCTGTCTTACTATTGGACAAATGCACAGGGGCGCTTGCACTGATGTAAACGGGGCCCTGTTCTCCGACCCAGGAGCACTTTTCTTGGACCTAGAGACCCTTGCACTGAAGTCAAAGATGCCCTTTTTTCAGATCCAGGGCACAGTAACGCCCTTATATTTATATGGTGGGTGCACCTATGTGATTTTTTCAAAATATTTTGATGATTTTCTGGGGGGTTTTCTTAATATTTTTCAAATTTTTTAATCTGCTTTATTTTTCTTCCTATTTGGTGCTAAATCATATAATATTTACTATTAAACATGTTCGTATTAAAAATTATACTTTATTATATACTACGGAAGCGTATATGGGTCATGCAAAATTTTGTAGAAGGTCTCGAGATCCTGCGATCCTGTGGTACATTCTCGTAATCCCGTGATCACCTGGTAATTTTCTCGAGATCTCAATTTAATGTTCTCGATATCCCCTGTGGCACAAATGCTTCGGAGCAGATTTTAAATCAAAAATCTTGAAAAACTCTGGGCCCTAACCCGTTCACAAGGTTTACCGGAAAATAGGAATAACGCCATAACAAAACGCCAGGGAGCGCTGCAATAAGGGTCATTGTTCGGCCGAAAATAAATAGGGTTCCTCTGCTTATGACAGTAATGATTCAAAAGAAATTTGAACGATAGCCACGCAAAGTGTGGAGATACGCCCACGCAGCATCTATGCCTCAACAGCAGATTATTCGAAAGGAAAACTTGGTTGTGTAATAAATTGAATAAGGATCTAGCATTCATCAAGAAATCTAATCTCTATCGTGTTCATGTGCTTGTTATATCTCTGGGACAGAAAACCTTATAATGCTGAAAAATAAACAGGGTGTGGGGCGCTGAAAATACGTTAAAACTGCGCGCACGCATAAAAATTTATACAGGATGGCAAGATCCCGAGAACATTAACTCGAATTCTCGAGATCGTTAACACAGGAATGGAGATTCTCGAGAATATTATTAGGGGATTTCGAGATCATTAAATTGAGATCTCGAGAAGGTATCACAGGATCTCGAGGTCTTCTACAAACTTTTGCATGACCCCTATACGATTCCCTACTATACATCAAATTCAGAAGGTATATTATTTTTAATACGAACATGTTTGATAGTAAATAATATATGATTTAGCACCAAATAGGAAGAAAAATAAAAAAAATTCAAAAATTTGAAAGATATGAAGAAAAAAAAAAAAATCAAGATAGGAAGAAAAATAAAGATTAAAAATTTGAGAAATATGAAGAAAAAAAAACAAAATGTAAAATTTTGAAAAAAACACATACGGTGCACCGTAAGAAGGGCGTCCCTGTGACCCAGGGGGCCTTTTCTTAGATTTGGGGCCTCTCCTTTGGTCTCGCTGGCCCTGCCACATGAGTTCCATATCAAGTTTTCTCCCCAGATTCAGAGTTTTCTGTCATTTTAATTTTTTGAGATTTTCAAAAACATTTCGAGTAGGAAGCTCGCGCCTGTAGCGCCTCTGCTATAATCGCTGCTGGTCTTCGTGCCTTCCGATTTCCGAAAAATTGATGACACAAATAATGTAGAGAGGCTCCAGGCCAAATTATGGGATTTCGGGCATTTTATTTTGCCGATTAGAAGGCAAAATGGTTTTACCAGAAAAATAGTACCCGAAAAATAGTGATCGAAAAATTTATGAAAAAAACTTTCTCTCGAACTTTTTTTTAAATTATGGGACATAAACGCCTTATGCCGTGTGTTACAATTGTGATGTTTACGTAAATATGCTACTTTCAATCTCTCAAATAGTATCAAAAACACGTGATTTTCACTTGGTTTGATAAGTATTGCACTACTGCTTCTTTATATTGTTTTTTTTTTTTTATAATGCTGTGTGGCGCTATTTTTCAGCAGTGGGACGTTTGTCCCACAACTTGCTATACTAAAAAATGACCCGTGTCGGACTGCTTAAACATTTTCAGACACTTTCTTAGAATAGGGTGTCCGTGTTTAATTGACTGAAGCGGGTATCGATGATGCAAGTTTGCTATTGACAATTACGGATGTTACTGGGGCGATAATTTAAAACTATAGAAACATTCTAGACTGGATCTCTTTACCATCAGAAATACTCTTTATTGTTCTGGTAACTTCTTAACTCAGAATCAAAACTATATATTCACCCATGATAAGCTAGTTAACATATTTAACTTTCAGAATGCAACAATTTTTAATTCTGTTTGCTGTATTGGCCTTTGGGTGAGTTAATATCAATTTATAATCAAATTAATCACACCCCTAGAGGTTTCAACATACATAATTAAATATCTACTGTAAGATAAATGTGGTCAAACGAAACTATTTTCAATTGCCAATAATAATGATTTTCTTTTGTATTTTACAACAATGGTCAGGTTATGTTACCCAACTGGTCATATATCAGATAATGCCAACGCCAGAAAACTGTTTGCTCGTGTCGACATGGATAACGATTCTTCTCTAAGTATTCAGGATTTTGAAGGAATTTTTAAACGTTTTGACTTAAATGGTAAGTTGTTACAGAAGTCGCAACCTTTTGCGGCATGAAATAAATAGAAAAGGGTTTACAGTAAAATAAATACTGTAACCGTGCACCATCCAAGCAGTGACATACATATTTTCGGGTGTCATGCTATTGTGACACTATGGGAACAGGTGATCGGCTAAGACTTGCTTGGACTTCACGTTGTTGGATCAACTATCTCAATCATCAATTAATTAACTCTGGAACACCATTTATGTTGTTACTAAGTTTATCTAACGAATACAGCAAACTACAAAGGTTACATACACGAAACTACAATATCTATGATATTTACTTTTTGAGTTATTAAATTATCCACGGTCTGAGTTTAATATCCTTTCTAACTCAGACCTAACGGCTTAAACGTGGCAAGAGCCACATACTTCTTGATAGTTCTACATAACGTTCGCGCTAGGATGATGTGTTCACCCTAGCCTCTAAGACGAGGAGGCTATAGGTATGTTCCCCTTGAGCTCCGAATGATTGTCTGAAGTAAATCAAACCCGCTCTATAGGCTAATATATAGAAGTATAATGCAGCAGCTATTAGGGCGGGACAATTACCATTTTTGGTTAAATGTTTCGTATAGGCACCGTTTAACGTCAACATTATTCTAGTTAATTGTACTAATCTGTGCTAGACTCTAAGTTAGTAGTAGGGTAATGCAAGCTACTTCATTACCCTAGTTTTCGTCACACATCGTGTAGGTAAAGATTTCTATATTAAACAGAACACTTTTCTTAGACTTAAAATAACCCTATAGTGTTATACTATATTCCATCTCCCCTTTTGTACCGAACAATACCTTGGTATCTCAAAGTCACGCGTTTTGTTAATGGTGTAGTGGGTAGTAGCCTATCAGGAGATAACTCAGCGGCGAGTCAAACTGAATGACTGGGTTTGTATGATGTTGCAAAGGTGTTTGTATGATATTGTATTGTAAAAAAAGTCAGTGTGTTTGAATGATGTTGTAAAGTGACCAGAGTGCATATATTATATTAGCTGCAATTTTTAGCCGAGATAATTCTTATCTACGGCTGCAACTGATAGGCCTACACTATTCGACTCTTTAAGCAAGTAAAATTAGGTTCAGTTGCAATTTGTTCAACACATATCATCATAGTTTGCATGGAAATAAGTGATTATGTTACAAAAAGTGAAAAGTGGAACACAGAAATCTTAATTTTATCATACCGAACAGTTTTTCTGTATTTTCGAGTGATATAAACATCACGTGATTCTGGTACGGCCGCCATTTTAACTGAACAAAAATTTCGCATAGCAGTTGGGTCAAATCAAATAATATAATTATTCGGTAAGGTTTCACCATTATTTCAATGAGAATTGGTTTATTATATGTTAAGCTATGTACAGTACAGTTTTGGGGTCAGTGTAATTGGAAATTAAGGGAGTTATAGGCCAGTAACTTTTTTGTAGTCAAATGACTACAAAACTTGCGCAAAGGAAGGCCTTAGGACGGTCCACTACTGTGGCTGGAGTAAGACGTAAGACATCAGTAGTGGAACCATTTCTAGTATTATATATGTTGTAAAGTGATCACTATGTTTGTATACTCAGCCACATTAAAAACTTGACACTGATGAATTTCAACAATTTTGTTTTTCTGGTAAGTCAAATAAATTTTAAAGTGTTTCTAACGATAGTAAGTAGTAAGAAGCCTTTAATTTCATAAAATTGTAAAGTCACGTGGATCACGTGACTTTTGAGCATATAAAGATGAAAAGCACGTGCAAACACAAACTCGTGAGGTCAATTGATGCAAGTTTGCTTAAACTTAACACGCACACGTAACTTGAACTGGAAAAACAAATTAAAATTGTTTTTTTCATCTTTGTTAGAAAATGCCGCGCCTTTCAAATGTAGAACGTCTACGTGCTATAGGTAGGCTCTATGCTGGTCAGTCTGTGGTCACTGTTGCAAGAGCCTTTAATTGTTCACGCCAGACAATAATTAATCTTAGAATGAGAGTGCTTCAAACTGGAACTATTGCCGACCGCCCAAGGGCGGGAGCGCCGCGTGTGACGTCACTCCAGGAAGATCAAGCAGTACGATTACGTCATCTTAGAAACAGATTTGTCACTGCAACTTCCACAAGTAGAGAGAATGTTTGGTGGAAGGGTAACTGCACAAACTGTTCGAAATCGCTTGCAGGCTGCTGGTCTTCGAGCTCGGAGGCCCTATAATGGACCAATATTGACACCTCTTCATCGCCGTAACCGACTTGTGAAGTTGTGTGGGCCACAAGACACATAAGATTTACTCAAAGACAGTGGAATTCGGTTGTCTTTAGTGACGAATCTCGATTCACTTTGAGATTTGCCGATGACAGGGTCCGAGTGTACCGCAGACGAGGTGAACGTTACGCTCAAGTATGCGTCAGAGAAGTTGACCGATTTGGTGGCGGCAGCGTCATGGTTTGGGGTTCTTTTTGTGCACATGGACGTTCTCCTCTTGTTGTTGTCCAAGGGAACTTAAATGCTGTCCAGTACAGGGATCAGATTTTGCAACCTATTCTTATTCCGTTTATGCAGAGACATGGGCCTGGACTAACGTTTCAACAAGACAATGCTCGATCCCATACAGCAATTGCTACCCGGAATTTTTTAAGAAATGCCGGTGTCCAAGTCCTAGATTGGCCGTCGCTTAGCCCCGACCTTAATCCTGGGACGAACTGTTCGTCAGCAAGTGAATCCACCACTGACGTTGCAGGACCTTCAACATGCTCTTGCTGAGCAGTGGCGACGTCTAGTCCCAAAAATCCCGAGTGTCAAGTTTTTAATTTGGCTGAGTATATATGGTACTGTAAAGTGATCGCTGTGTTTGTGTGGTATTGTAAAGTGATCACTTTGTTTGATCACTGTGTTTATATGATGTGATCACTGTGCTTGTATGATTTAAAATGGTGTCACCATATTTGCATGATGTGTAAGTGGTTACTGTGTTTGTATGGTAGCATAAAGTGGTCACGGGGTTTGTAAGATCTTGTAAAGTATATAATGACTGTGTAAAGTGATCACTGTGTTTGTAAGGTGTAACAAAAAGTACGCACAGGACTATCGCACCACAAATAACAACCAAATACAAGAAGACAAACCCACGGACCAGACATATCACATGGAAAGTATAAATAATAAAACCAAATCAAATGAAAAAAAAAATAAACAAGAGAGTCAACCCAATAACGGAATGCACAACAAGGGTGCATTCCCCGAACATTGTAATATTTTAAAGTATAGAGGATATATTTACAATAAATGATGAACAAGCTGTTACCATAAGTGCTTACAATCTTTGTTTCGTGTACTTTTGTGTCGTAGGTGATGATAAAATAGAACGCGAGGAATTTGTAAAACACTGGGCTGTAGAAAAACTTGGTACTCCCCCAGAAGCTGTTAATCTGTTCAATAATCTAGATGTGAATAAAGATAGTGTCATCTCTCACTCCCCAGATCTACCATTTATCTTCATCTGGTTTGATTCAGATGGTAAGTTGTTTTTTATTTTAATATTTATAGTCACAAACACACAATACTCACACCATACGCCCCACAATCAACTCATCAAAGTACAAAACAGGGTCGGATTAACCTTGCATGTGGCTGAAAATGTCACGGATTCCTTGCATCAACATTGAAAAGGAGGCATATTCTGGTCATTGTCCGTGACACTCACGGACAATTTGTAGGTCAGTATTGTAGATAATCACGTTTAGCTTGTGTTCCCTCTAGATGTCACAATTTTTATCCGGTTTTAAAAACACGCTCGAATACATCACCGTTACACCATAATCGTGGTTGCGTCGAATTTCGTGAAAGTCAGACCGAAACTGCCAGAAGAAATGGCCGCTCCCTGTATGCAAATAGTGTTAAAGGCTCAATACCACTCTTGTTGTAACTGAATAATATGTCCCAATCTTTATTCTGGTCAACAAATTGTACTATTTTACAATATTCCAATTAATTGATGATACAAATTTCATCTTAACACACCTAATTTAAAAAATTGGAAAAATTCAACTAAATGATTTGAAAAGCCTAACGTAAACCTTTTCAAATGTGACATGGATTTAAAAATATTTTCGAACCCTATGTACAAGTAAAATAGGATGTAATGGATAATTTACACAACAGGTAGGACACTTAAACATCTAATACTTAGAATAAGGCTAATATTTATTTACTGGAGCTGTCAAGCCAGCAAGAGTGTTATTGTCCCTTTAAAGTATGTAATATCAAGGTTGGGGAACCTCTAGAGGTCACAATTTTGATCCAATTTTGATGAAACGTAAGATATGTGTTTATATTACAAAGGTCGCGGTTCTTGTCGATATTCGCGCATATCGAACGGTAACTTCCTGGATTATGGCCCCTGATTGTATGAAAAAAAAACGATTTTAGCTTTATGACCCCCAAAAGGTCACAATTGTTATCCGATTTTAAACCAGCGGCTGCCAGGCAGGATACGCCCACATTTTCGAGAGATGGATAGAGAACAAGCTAACAAGAAAGTGATTTTTCCTACAATCTAGGGCCATAATTCTGGAAATTACAATTCGATATGCGCAAATATCGAAAGGAACTGAGATCTTTGTGTTATAAACTTACATTTCAAGTTTCAACAAAATCGGATAAAAATTGTGACCTCTATAGGGTCCACAACCTTGATATACCATATTTTTACGCTATTTGAGAACGAACGGCAGCCATTTTGTCTGTCAATTTTAGGCCGATTTTCACGAAATTCGAACTCAGTCGTCCTTAGAGTGTAACGGTGATAAAATAATACGGTTTTTTAAATCGGATAAAAATTATGACCTCTTTAGGGTCCACAAGCTAAAAACGCGATTTTTCGTACAATCAGGGGCCATAATTCAGAAAGTTACGGTCCGATATGCAAAAATATCGAAAGGGACCGAGATCTTTAGGTTATAAACTTACATTTCAAGTTTCAACAAAATCGGATAAAAATTGTGACCTCTATTGGGTCCACAACCTTGATATACCATATTTTTTACGCTATTTGAGAACGAAGGGCGGCCATTTTGTCTGTCAGTTTTGGGCCGATTTCCACGAAATTCGAACTAAACCTTCCTTAGGCTGTAACGGTGATATAATAATACGTTTTTTTTTAAATCGGATAAAAATTATGACCTCTATAGGGTCCACAAGCTAAAAACGCGATTTTTCGTACAATCAGGGGCCATAATTCAGGAAGTTACGGTCCGATATGCGCGAATATCCAAAGGAACTGAGATCTTTGGGTTAAAAACTTACATTTCAAGTTTCAAAATATCGGATAAAAATTGTGACCTCTATAGGGTCCACAAGCTAAAAACGTGATTTTTCGTACAAACAAGGGCCATAATCCATGAAGTTTCGATCCGATACATGCCAATATCGAAAACAGCCGAGATCTTTTGGAGATACACCTATATTTCTAGTTTCGTTAAAATCGGATAAGAATTGTGACCTGTAGAGTGTCCACAAACAAATTGTGGACGGACGGACGGCCGGACGGACGTCCGGACGGACAGGGGCGACGGCATAATACGTACACATGAAAATGTGGGCGTATAAAAATCGTTTATATATATAATCGTTACACTCTGATGATGATAGTTTAGTTCAAATTTCGTAAAAATTGAACTGAAACTGTCTGACAAAATGACCGCTTCCTGTACGCAAATAGTGTAAAAGTATGTAATACCAAGGCTGTGGACCCTCTAAAAGTCACAATTTTGATCCTATTTTAATGAAACTTAAAATATTATGTTTATATCCAAAAGATCTCAGTTCCTGTCGAAATTCTCGCAATTCAGACCATAACTTAGTGGATTATGGCCCCTGGTTGTATGGAAAATCACGTTTTTTGTTTAGCTCGTTCTCTATCCATCCTTATATCTTGCATGGTAACCGCTGTTTCAAGTCAACATGAATGTGGCTGTGTTGGTTTAAATCTAGTCAATGCCGAGCCGAGGAAGTTTTTCCGGTCTGGTTTCCCCTTGTCATTGGTGCATGACGGAGGGCCTGACAAGGACAGATGTCTAGTCGTGGGAATGGGACGAAAAACCGAGGTCCCGTGTACACATTGGCGTGTACGTAAAAGATCTCTCGGCAGTTGGAATTTGATTCAAGAGTAGGTCGTAACGCTGCTGTCCGGGCAAAATTTCCCTCATGGCACACTCTATGGCGTATGCCCGTCTTCATTAGCCCAGCCGGAGCAGAACATTAGGACGTTAAACTCCATTTCATTTTCATACTTGCCGAGGGAGCCGTGGTAGCTCAGTTAGTAATGCCCTGGCTCACTAACTAGAGGTCTTAGGTTCGATCCCGGTTTTGGTGCAGAAATTCTCCCGGGAAGTGGGACTTTCAACCCCATTTCATACTTGCTATGATTATGATCAAAATTTGTGTAAAAGGATAGCAACAAATGGTAATATGCATTTTAAATTTTTAAGATGCATTATGTAAGAGCTAAACCTGCCTATTGCAGGTCTTTCTACATGGTCTATAAAGTATTATTTAGACAATGATTCACATGACAAGCCTATCTAAACTATCGGATGGGCGAGATTTGAATGCATTTGAACTCCCGCGAAATTTAAAAGTTTAACGATAAAATGGATAATCGATAATCATTCTCGGTTGACAAGTACCGTTGCTACGATAATAAACGATCTGCGCTACATCTTCAAACAGTCATACTACGCCCAAAATAAAGTAATTTGAACGAGATTTTCGATATAATCATTTTTCATGATCTATTTTTGAATTATTATAGCAAGAACGGCCAGCTCTGTATCTAAATCTTACTTGCCTCATCTTTAAGAGATCAGTAAAAACCACCAATATAATTGGTAGTCCCTCTGTTAAACAAGAATTCTTTGCTATTGAGCAACAATGTTTGGTCCTATTTAAATAGCCAAAATTTCAACATCTGGTTTTAATATCCATAAACCATAAATGATCTATACATATACTGGTTTACACCAAAAAATCACAGACTTAATGAACAATAATGTATCAAGACTATATTCAAAACTTTCAATTTGTGGGACGATTTGTATTATTATTCCGTTATACCACCTGATTCAGTCAGATTTGTAATATTTTTTTTTCAGTTAACGGACAAGTGAATGAAGCTGAGTTTGCGGTGACCTGGCAGAAATTAACCACCTGACAATAAAGTATGGAGCTTATAATGTGTTTATGCTTTTACAAATAAAAATAGGTTGCCATAATCTTTGGCGCATTGTTATTCTTTTATAGGCAGCTGGAGCATTTACAAGAGACTAAAACGTGATCAAGGGCAACAACGCGTGAAGTAATTATTGGAAATGATTAAACTGTGATAGGAGTATTATTTGTACTAACATAAACATTTGATGGTATGTTGAATTGTTCGAGATATCTGTAATTTGTCGTTTTTTCGTCCACAGTACATAAATACTGTGTATAAAATTCAATCGTATGACAACTTTAACCTCAAGAACTTCTACAAGATTTTAAAAGTAACCAAGGGCAATAACCCTGACATAAATATTTGGAAAGTTTTGTCTCGTCAACAATATTTATTTCAAAGCGATAAAGCGCCATAACACCAAATATTATTATCGGAAATAGTTGAAATGGGCTTCTTTGTGTTTTCAAGATAAACACGGTGTATAAACTTATTCTATAAAATGATGTGGATGATGGTCGGAAATTCGTGACGACGGTTTATAACCATATTTAAACGTAGATTAAAAATACACATTATGCAAGAGCTAAATCTGCCTATTGCAGGTCTTTCTTTAGGCCTGGAATGTTATACAAACTATTAATTAGACATTTATTAACAAAACAAGACCATAATCAACTCTCGATGGCATCAGATACTCGAGATTTGAACTAGATTAGAACGGTTCGCCATTTAAGAATTTAATTTAGAAATGGGAAAGCAAGGCAAAGGCTCGAATGTACCAGTGCCCTGGTTACCACAATGTGTACATCTTGTCAAAACTACAAACAGTGATAACTTGGCTCAGAATGATATAATTTGAATGAAATTTCAATATTTTCATTTTACATTATCTATTTTTGAGCTATTATAGCAAGAATGGCCAGTTCTTTATCTAATTTTTACATAATGTGTCTTTAACATTGCCTTACTCAAGTTAACTTACACTTAACACCTACATATTGATATTGTCTTTGCAGGGCCATCGGGCTTCAACCCCCCTCTCACCCACCCATCCTCGTAATTCATAATTTGCAAATATCTGTTTTTCAGTTTAAAATTTGTCCCGGGCTTTTGGCTTCGCTCTGTGGCAGCACACACACACACACACAGGTGTGTGGCAAGGTGAAATTTTGTCACGGGTTCTTTTGGCCTTCTTGCCTGCATTTAATGTTGTTACATAAATATGATATGCCATCCTTGTTCACACAACAGTCATTCTAAAGCGCTCTTGGTGTTT